CTTATTTTTGGCTAGAGTGAAGGATTAGATCTCCGACAGGTTTTTACTGCTATTCAGGGCAGCTTTCCAACAGCAACACAGATGGATATAAAAATGATATTTAAAGGGTGTTCTAATAGCCCAAAAAGGAATGCCCACCTTCAATGAAAAACTATCAAATTATGGGATACCCTCACTTCAAACAATATAGAAAAATGAGAAGGTTCCTTCCTATAACTTTTAGAGTATCCACCAGTACATAAACTACAGTATCCAATCCTACAAAAGATAGTCAATAGAAAATGAAAACTTACTGTGCTGGATTATTATGCAAAAAAAAGAAAAACCTCACCAAAAAAAAAGTTTACTAGAAAAATACATTTATCCTCAAAGCCACTGAGATAAAAATGTTAAAATATTGAAAATATTCTATACACATCTCCTGAAATAAATTCTGTTGTCATGTTTTATATTTAAAAAATGTCATTTAGTGAAATAACAGAGTTCAAATAATGATTTTCTAGTAGAGAAGAATAATGCTAGAACCACTGTCAGATTTAATTGTCTTGTCCATGTTATTGAAGATATTCCCTCGATTCCTGTCTGATGAAACGGTTGTCATAAGGACAGGAAGTGAGACTACATAGGAGCCCCAAATAGTTCTCAAATTAGAAAAAAAGTATTTGGCTTGACATGAACTTTAAGTTATTCATAAAGTTTCAGTTTTAATATGGAGATTAAGGATTAATATATTCACATTTTATCAGATTATGGATTAGGGTGAGGATTGTGTAAAGTGTTAATTGTGTAGACCATAAGAGAATTACAAAGATACCACTTTCCTGTGGTCTGACCCAAGCCCACAGTTTCTCTTTAGTTGCTTTATATCGCTAAAATATTTCATTAATTAGAAACAAATTATTAGCAATCATTACATGTCTGGAGAACAAGCAGTACGTGTGCAGTATGGTGCAACAATAAGTATGACTCCAAGTTATAATGTGGATGAACAATATATGGCTATGCACTATGTGGACACAAAGAACATTTCTAAATGTAACAAGAGATGTATGTAAACTGCACAACCAAGCTTTCCAAGAAAAAAAAAAAGTTTCCTGCACTATTCAAAAACCTTTCCTTTCATCGATATCAAAAATAAATTAAATACATTGAGGATTTTATGTGCAACAGTTAAAATACTAATTTGAAGAAGACATTGAATTGCATTATAATTGAGTTTACATATAAGACCCTTGAGTTCATAGATTAATTTGGGGACAATTTATTTGTGGTATCAACAATCATGCATCATGCGTAACTCTATCATTTACATTTTCGTCCGTGTTATTTAATTTTTTTTATATACACCTAGGTAATCCTCCATTACAGATGTATGCTTTTACTGTGTTCCTTCACTTTTAATTTCAGGCCTGATCCTGGATAGTGTACTTCAAGAAACGAACCCATCCATGGTCCTAGAGCTGGGCACTTATTGTGGTTATTCCGCCATCCGTATAGCCCGATTACTGAAGCCTGGAGCTCTGCTGCTCACTATAGAGATGAATCCGGCTCACGCTGATGTGGCTGGAAAAATAATTGAGTTTGCAGGAGTTCAAGAGAAGGTACGCTGTGCATATGATTCAATACTGAAGCCTAGGGCTATCCCAGTATAGACAATTTACAGTAGGCTCCACTCACACCTACGCCTGAGTGCAGCCAGGTGATTTAGAAGCTTTATTTTGTGCGTTTGTATTTGAGACTTGTAGTGCAGAAGCAGAATTCCATGATATTGGCCACATAGACTTTTACCTTGGAGCGCCTGAAAAATGCATGTTTTTGGGCACTCCCATTAAGTTTATGGGACCATAAATCAGAGGTTATGCCTGCAAAAAACTCATGTACATGAACAGGGACCATTAAAAACAATGGGATTCCTCTTTAGGGAAAAAAGCTATAAAACACGTACCCGTGTTTCCCCGAAAATAAGACGCTGTCTTATATTTTTTTGGTTAAAAAAAAAACACGGTCTTATTCTCGGGGTAGGTCTTTTTTTTTTTTTTTTTTTATGTACAACAATCCACACTTATTCATGTACAACAGTCTACATGTATTCATGTACAAAAAAATGGTGATCAGGGGTGCCGTACCTTTCCAAGAGCAGTTTGCTATCCAATCGCTGGCCAGAATGAGCGAAGCGCGCTTTCACTATCGATTCCTCACAGACGGAGTGCATTTGGTATCACTCTGCCTGTGACGGGAGCCGGCGCTATAGAGGAAGCATCGGCTTATGCGGCTCTGCTCCCTCCGGAGCCGCCTCGCTTCCTCTAGCGCTGGCTTTGTTGGCACTGCTGATTCTCTCCCGTGACTTTTCAAGTTCCCCCTTATGCCACCACCGGCCCTGGGAATTGTCACGGGTAGGTCTTTATATTTAAGCAATTCCCAAAAATAGTACTAGGTCTTATTTTCGGGGTAGGTCTTATTTTCGGAGAAACAGGGTAGGTGTGCCTAGGTAAAAATATGCACTGTGCTTTCTTTTTGTATGTTATGTCTGTAATAAATAGCCACATTTGGAAATAACTAAGTAATTAGCAAGTCTGTTCTACTTTATTTCATTAATTAAAATTTGGCTTGCCTGAAACTTAAGGTGGTCATAGCCACTGACCACTCGCAGCCTAGCTCACAATAGGCTGATTGTGGCTGCAATAGGCTAAAAATATGCTTTATGTCTCCAGTAGATTATCCTGTAAGTAGCTTTTGCACAGTTATTATAGTACTAAGGCCTCTATGTGGGTTAACTGGATTCTGTCTACTTATCTAAATTTTCATCCATATAATTCTTTTTTTAGGTAAAGATATTGCAGAATTCCACAGAACACATCATCCCCAAGCTAAAAGCAGAGCATGGAGTGGACCACTTTGACTTTGTGTTCATTGATCATTTTGGAAACAGATATTTGCAAGATACTAAGTTGCTTGAGGTAAGGGGAATATTTTTCTTTACTATACATAATGAAATGAGTAATTCATTATCCAAGGGAAGTGCACCTTTCGCCCGTTTCAGTACAACTATTATTTAAAATGTTATTTTACACCCCCAGGCACTTTCATGAGCACTTTACTGTCATTGTACAGTACAATTCATATACAATGGACACTGTCTATTGGACAGTGCAGATCCCATAAAAGATGACCATCACAGCATTGCCAAATGTAAACAATGGCTGCGGTTAACATCCAGCTCTCCCTTTCCTCTCACACACTGATCATACCATGTGCACGGTTTGTATGTAATCACTATATATAGCTGTTATTTTAGAAAGTGCAGAATGTCTCCTTGTAGTCTCTGTACTCACATAAAATAAATATACCTGGATTAGAGAAGAACTCCAGGAAAAAATGTTGTATTAACCCTTGCAGTGGGGCTACCCCCGCACTGCAAGGGTTCACTGCTCATTTTGCCTAGGTTAAAAAAAAGTTATACTGACCTGAACCGCAGAGCAAATGTTCTGTTGAGAACGCCGACCCAGTCGAATTTGCCGACCTTAGCATCTGCGCTTGCCCACAGACGGGATTAATGAGGTAACAGGCATTTATTTCGAAAGTATTAATGTGTAATTGTTGATTGTGACCATTGATAATATGCCATCCATGGCAGTAAATGATGGATGGCATTTTATGCACATCCACAATTAACATCGTCAGCAATTACATATAATGTAATTAGTTACAATGTTATTTGTGAATGATAATGTTACATTGTTCAGACATTGAGTTGTAGCTCAGAAGGCGGGCTCTGCGAGAGTGGTGACACCAGGTTGAGTGAAATTGTGTCAGAGCATTGAGGAATTACATCCTATGGGCATCTTCAGTAAGTACTTCGCAAACTTCTACATCAATATTATTATTAGGAGTGCGATAGAACTTTTGGAAATTCAATATAGAATTACAGATTTATTTTTAGTTTTTGACCAGAGATACCTATAAAGCAGAACTATAGTAAAAAAAAAAAAAAAAATTGTGAGCAGTCAGGCTCTTTATTGCAGAAGCAACATGCAATGTCTCTTCTACAGTAAAAAAAACACAAACACAAACACAAACACAAACACAAACACACCTGCCATTCCCAATGTTCTTTTAGAATGTACACTGAGCTGTGCATTTGTAGCTCAGTGTACGTTCATGGCAAACCTTGGAATCGGGATGATTGAACTCCCACGTACATGCATAGCCAGTCAAGGCCAAGCAAGAAGGCTGAAGACCCATCAACCGGAGATAATGGAGCTAATGAATGTCAGATCGCTGTAGCGGAGAGGGAAAGTCTGTGGACTTTAGCCCTGCTTTAATGCTGGTGACAGATTGCATCATCTTCTGTATGTTATTTCTGATTTTGCCCATAGTTCCACTATAACTAATTTGTCATTCATCCTGTACAGGAATGCTGCGTCCTCAGAAAAGGAACAGTCTTGTTAGCGGACAATGTCTCCTTCCCGACGTCTGCACACTTCTTGGAATATGTCAGGACAAGCGGTCACTATGATTGCACCAACTATCCAGCTCATTTAGAGTACTCAGATAAGCCTGATGCAATGGAAAGGGCTGTGTATAGAGGGTAGCTGTAGACAAGAGTAGAAATTATATTGTATAGTATAATGAGTCCATGAACCCAGCAGCTCCACGCATTACAGGCTGCCTTCAGAAAACTACAGGAGGGGGCGGAGACAAGACCAGTCACCCTGAGAGCGAGCAGCAGTCATCTGTCCTTATTCCTCCTGCAGAGTTGGAGTTGTTTCACACTAAAATACTGTATAGATATGGAAAAAAAACAAACACAAAGGACACCAAGATTGAAATAACTATATATATATTTTAGACAGTGTTTGTTTTAACCAGATTTCAGCTTTAGGATGCATTGCCAGCCCACTCACGGTAAATGGGCTACACAAGGCATAGTGTACATGGACCCTCATTCTTCATCCAAAATGATCAAATCAAAATGTGTTTGCTTTTTGTTTTGTTTTTTATAATTTCACTCCTCTTGCCTACTCATAAAAATGACAAAAGCTGTTTATTTTCTCTGTTTTTCTTACAGCTTACAATTAAAAGCAAAGGATGTTGCTTATTTACCAATAGGTAGGCTGGCCATACACTGCTCAAATCTGGCCAAAATTCAAGTCGTGTGTGGCCCTATCAGCACTGCCAAACCCAACCTTCTACCACCCACCACATTCATTTCAATCGACTTTTGTCAAAGTTAAGGTGCCCACACACCTTGCGATTATCGTACGATAATCGGCAGGAAATCCAGCGATCGTATGATTATCGCAAGGTGTGTGGAAGGCGTGCGTTATGAACATGTTCGAAAACCTGCAGAGAATTGTACGATTGTCGGCGGGTGTGTTGCATGTTCGTAAGATAAATGACGCGAGCGCAGACTGCCCGTTCAGCATTGCGATCATCGCAAGTACGATCTGCCTGTCCAAGATGGGCAGATCGTACGTTTTTTTTTTTTAATTACCTTACAACCATCGCAAGACAGAAGTCTTGCGATGGTTGTAAGGTGTGTGCCCAGCATTAGTCTGAAACTTCTCAGCCATACAGCACCTGCACGCAGACCTGCACGCAATCAGATGGGGGCACTGTTTGGGTATTCAGCAGCCACTGGAGCAGTAAAAGTGATAGCCGGCAATCGGGATTCCTCCACACACACTGTTTAGCATGGGTGGGGAAATCAATAGATTTTTCTGATTTTAGCCCACGGGGCTGAATGAGGGTAATTCAAAGGTTGTATGGCCAGCCTAAAAGGGAATCTATCATTTTCAATTGGATATAAACAATAAAATTATACTAAACCTTAAAAATTTGAGTACCCGATTAACAATACTGAACCTTATTTGTGTATCACTCAGCTGTAGATCCTCCAATCATCTCTGAATTGGTGCTGACACTGTCCTTCCTTCTGGAAGGTGGCTACTTTTGTTCCCCATGGTCCCTGTGTGTGTTGTAAAGTAATCACCGCTCCAAGCTCACTCCCGTGATGGACTACAATCTCACGTTTAGTTTACTAATTTGTATCAAGATTATAGTCCATCACAGGAGTGAGCTTGGAGAGGCGACTACTGTGCAACACACACAGGGACAATGGGGAACAAAAGTAGCCACCCAAGGACAGTGTCAGCGTGAATTCAGAGATGATTTGAGGATCTACAGCTGGTGATACACAAATAAGAGACATTCTTGTTATCAGTTTAAAGGTACTTGAATGTATTTTTAAGATTTAACTCCTCAGTGTCAGTTTAATTAGAGAGCACACAGCTGTGGGCTTTCAAAAAAGAAAGGCCAGCATATTGTTTATTTAGAAAATACAAATGTTATACAACAATGAGAACGTTATATACCAGGTCAGTTCATAAACATATACACATGAAAATACATCAAAATGAATTGATAAACATTAGGACTTACCATAAGAAGCTAGAACCAGCCTTCACACCTGAGAGTTTCCTTAATGTACGTCAAACCCACAAATGCACACTTTGGCGTGCGCTAGCGAAGCTCGCTTACAATGCTTTTATTATTAATGGCACCCCAAACACCGCCAGAAAGACAATAATTTTTCGTTGCATTTGCGTGCGTTAAAATGCGCACAAACACGGACGAAAGATATGCAGACCACATGTTGCATGTTTTGCTACATGCACTTTTCTGCGTTTGCTGCGCGTCCCCAATGATTTCAAGAAGAAACGCGCACAAATGTGCATGAACACAATGAGCGTTTGCACTAAGCTAAGGCGTGAATGGAGCCTTTCTCATTCTCATAACACTACCATCCAAGGCCGTGTATCAATGAAGAACCCTTGAGTAAGTGGAAGCAGTTTACCTCTTTTCCGGAGACTTCATTCATGTTTCTGTTAAAAAGCAAAGACGTATTAATCAAATTCTGCCAAGTAAGGTTACAATAGCTACACATTAGTAATTATTTATTATCATGACTGCTAGTTTACTGGCTCGCAATATTTGTCTGAAACAGAATTTCTAAAGTATGTGCCTCCATGTCCGTGCAGAAACCTGCGCCCTGGTGCGTGCAGCCGCCTGTGCAACTCAATGACTGGACACAGCTGCATGCCCCCTGGACTATACTTCAATAGGCACATATAGCCAAAGGATATAAATCCACTTTATGTGCGCCAAATACCGTTATTACCTTGTAAATGTAGTGGTGACATTATTAATGTGCTGCACACAGACTGCATAGAGAGCAGAGTAATCTTTATCAGGTGTATTTGTCAGAATAATAGGCCAAATATATCAAAAGCCTGTCCCTGACAAGCAAGGATTATGCAGCCATATTTTTTTTATTATTATTGGAAAAATATACTTTATTTTATATAAAGTACATAAAAAAACAAGATACTGTTTCGGGCTACATTCCAGGGGCCCGGGAACCTTAGATGGGTATCGGCCGTACGAGTGACAGGCCAGGAGGAGGCCGGGGCCCGCACGCTCCAGATCCTCACCTGAGATGCTCTGTGCGAGCCTCCGGTGTCCCCAGGGGGTCTCCACTGTACATTCGATTTTTAAAGATGGCCGCCGCCGTTAATGTGTGTGTTTTATTGTGTGTGTAATTTTTTTTTAATGAAGCTATGTGTGTGTTTTTTAATGTGTGTGCAATATGTGTGTGATGTGTGGATGTGCGTGTTTCATTACGCGCGGGGTTTTTTTTAACCACTTCCGGTGGGTTCACGTAACTGTACGTCATCCGCTGGAAGTGGTTATACCAAGAACACGGCTGCTCCTGAAGCCATGTTCTTGTACCGTGTTAAACAGCTGACGATTGCTGTTTAAATACGTCTGTACAGGCGCTGGATCGCTTGTACGGTGCAGAGCTGTGCACCCCTCCTCCACGGCCGCTGGTGCCACCGTCAGCTTCCAGTGCTCATCCGTCCCTCGTGTGAGCCCAGGCCGCGCGTGGAGGTTCTCCCGACAGATCGGAGGAGAGATCCGCAGCTTCTAGCTGCGGATCTCTCCTCTGATCACTGGACCCGGAAGTGATGTGCATTACATCACTTCTGGTTTCACTGTACAGTCTCTGGCTCTTAGGGCCTGTTCATACCACTTACAGTGCATTTCCGGCCGCATTGCAGCTTTTTTGCCGGCCAGGAGAGGGCGTGGCGGGGCATTGAAGTGAATGGAGTTAAAGATTTAATTCATGAGTAAACCAATAAAAAATGCCGCGCCCATTTCTTGCCACTTGGAGTGTGTTTGTTTGTTTTTATTTTAGTAATATAATAAGTTTGTTTTGCTTTGAATGTCGCTTGCTTTTCCATGTGATGCAGTGCGTTCCGGGCGGAATCGGGCCGGGACGCACTGCAAGTGGTGTGAACGACCCCTTAGAGCCATAAGAAGAAGCTGGTGAAGCAGATCTCTGCTTCATCAGCTTCTTTGCGGTCCCTAGGTGACATTAGGGTTAGAAAAAACCCTGATGTTTCCATGAAGATGACCTGTCACGTTATATATGTGCTATTACATAAGGGGCTTTATAGCCCGCTATGTGATAGCAATAAAGCTGAGTGTAAACAAAATGGTAAAAATTAAAGTAACAAAAAAATATTTTTTTTTTTAAGGTTTCCCGCTCCTCACGTCCACGCACATACAACGCAAATACTCATCGGATGCGCCTACATGCAAAAACAAACATTGCGCCACACATGTTATGTATCGTCGCGAGCGTCGGAGAGAGCAATAATTCCAGGCCCATCAATCACTGATAGCACTAAAGTGATGAGCCTTAAAAGCATTTAAAGCGTTGCTTATGGAAAATTTTGGTTATTGTAGTTTTTTGCGGTTTCATGGATGCTTGACATGTTTGGTATCTAATTGCCCGGCGTGACCCCGTTTTTTATATTGTACCAAAAAATTAGCCATTATATTCTGTTTCTGTGTACTAAATTTAATTTTAGTGTATTTTATCCTAAAATTACTGGTTTGATAAACATTTGCGCAAATACCGTGCGACATAAAACATTGCAACTAGTATCTTTTTATTCTACAGGTCCGCTGCTTTCAGAAACGATATGAAGCTGTTTTCTAGCCAAAAATTCAGATTTTATCATGTGTTTGCAAATGTAAGAAATTGCTCTGGACAGGAAGTGGTTAATGAGTGTGTGATTTGTGTGTTATGCGTGTGTTAGGAGTGTATAAATGTTTGAATATGTGTGTTTCCTTATTTTGCCGAAGGCAGTGATGCTGAACATTTTTTAAACCCGAGCGCCCGTACTGGAACGCAATACTAAAGTTATTTTCAGTGTTGGCACTTTGCGACGTAAAATAAATTTATTTACCTCAGTTTGAAAACTCGGGTTCAAAAACATTCGCCATCACTATCGTAGTCTGACAGCGGCGCAGAGAGCCCAGAGGTAGCGGGCATCACGTCACTTCCGGCCAGTCCGGCGACAGAGGAGGCAAGGCACCAGCAGCAAGTGCAGTTAAGAGGAGCTGGGAGGGAGATGCAGCCCCAACCAGCCCACCTGAGACCCCACCATAGAGAGTCTCAGATGGGCTGTGCAGCATGTATGGTGTGCTCGGCAGGGTCACTTTCAGGTGGGCTGTGTGGGGTCTCAGGTGGGTCCTGTGTCCAGCACGTTACCAAGCCCAGAGTCAAGCACATTACTAAGCCCTGAGCCCGGCGCGTAACTAAGCCCAGAGTCCGGCGCGTAACTAAGCCCAGAGTCCACTTCATATACTGTTCTGCATTGCTGTACAAATGTATTGCTGGGATTTGTAGTCCCTCTACAAGCAGTGCCATCCTGCATTAGAGTTGGGGGCGGCCTAAAGCCGTGGAAGGGGCCCCGAAATTTCTGAAGGGTGCTCCGATTCCACCCTGTACTGTGACGCAGCACCAGAACGCCTCATAGTAATACAGCAGCACATTTACACAAATAGGACTGTGCCCCCATATTGTACAATGACACGGTGTCAGGGCTGAGAAGATCGTACTGGTTTCTCTGCTCGCTTGTTTATGGAGTGGGAGGAATGTGTGGATGGAGGAGAGCTCCAAGCTTCTCCTCATAATGAGCCCATCCTGCCTCTGGGAGAACAGTACACAGCTCTTCATTACTACAGTGTGCACACTCCCATTCTGCTTAGTCATCCTCCATTGTGGGCTGCCCTTTGCAAAGCAGATATAGTAAACATCCTGTGTGAGCAGACTTAGTCCTTCTTGGCCACAGATAAGAGAGTCGTACGATAACCGTATACTGCTATATGCGACTGCCTAGATCCAGCTCAGGTCTGTAGAGCCTACAGGTGGAACCTGTGTGTGTGTCTTCCTTCATAGCATTGTATGTATTTGTATATGTATGGAAAGAGACTTTTAGCTGTGATTAGACTCTACAATTTCTTATGAATGAATGAAAATGTTAAACAATTCCACATTCCGATTTACAGTATATAGACCAGCCATTCTCAACCAGGGTGCTGCACGGCACTGACGTCACTGTGAACAATGGAAGGGACTCTGTCCAATGTGGGGAGGAATTTGTATCCACCTTCCTGAAATCTGAGATATACTTTACTTTGCACGGAGATCAGCTATTTTATAGAATGTAGCCCTGATGTATTTATTCTGGAAGATTTATCATGGACTGCACCAATATTTATATTCCAGCCATGTGTGATAATTTAGGAGTAACTTTGTCAGTACCTTCACACAGGCCTCCTATATTAAATACAGGGGAAGATATTTGGGAAACAGCTTTCATGCTTCACTGATCACTATTTCCTGTATTCAGATGTTCCTGGGTTTAGGCGCATTAAGGCTACAGTCCCACTAGATGCGATTGAATGCATTTATATGCTTTTAACCCCTGACAGCTTGTTTTTTGTTTCTGTTCGTAAATGACGGAAGAATCACACAGCAAAAATGTCAGTAATATATTTTCTTAATAAGTGCACCCACACGTATTATATATTATTTTTTTAGAGGACAGATAGGGCTATATATTTATATCGCATATGTGTACCTACCGCCTCACTTAGGACAAATAAAATAAAAAAAAAAAACCTTAAAGAAAACACTTTTTCCCCAGTTTTGATTAGCATTATTTTTTACAAAAACAGCACAGCTAAAAAAAAATGCATTAAATACATTCATTTATTTGTCCTTTATTTGGAAAAACCGCACATCCCTAGGGTTTTAGAAATGTTTCTGTACTTCTCAGGCTAAAACTAAAACCTAACAATTTTTTTTCTCTAGAAGCTAAAAGTGGTCACCTGGCAAACGATTTCACTGTCACCGAGTGTCACACTTAGTGACAGCGACATACTTTGAACATCACTGTCATGAGGGGGTTAAATTAAAAAAATAACCCCTGCAGATTTTCATTGTAAGGGATTAATTTTTATATAAATGATAGTATACAAATATTAAATATATCATTTTTATTTGTTAAATGTATTTTTGTACACTTTATTTTTACACTTTTTTTATTTATTTAAATCAAGCAGTCATTGTGAATTAATCTCACTATTACTGCTTGATAAATGAATCAATTAATGTTTGGTTATTATTAGGCTGCTTCAAAGAACAGCCAATAATAACCTTAGTGACACTGATCCTGCAGCATTTCAGGATCAGCTGTCACTAAAGGTTTTCTGATCGTTCCAATAACGATCAGAAAACTGAACATTCTTTCAGGAATATATACATTATGTTTCTATTGCTGAAAGCTAGAAAAAAGAAAAAAGCCAGTATACATCAGGATTTTCTGATCTATACCAGCTGTCAGAATGATGGCAAGAGCTCCAAATGCAGCTCTGCTCTCACTCTCAAGACACCAGATTCCTGAAAGGGATCGGGTGTCTGAAAAAGATTAACGCTTTCATTAATGGATGCCTCTATACTGAGGCATCCATTAATGTATGGTAACCGCTGATTCTCAGCGGTTACCAGCCTTGCAGAGCCGCATATAACTGGTCACGTACAGTGTACGTGGCCAGTCATTTGGACACTTCATGGCGGGACGTACAGTGTAAGTCTCCCATCACAAAGGGGTTAAAATGGTTTTCTTAATATATATATATATATATATTTATTAATGATTTCCAATGGATCTATTCACAACTTGTGTTTTAGATGCTTTTATCTGCAGTTGGTTTATCTGCGTTTAGAAAACATAGAAGTCAGAAGCATCTAGGAACCAATTTTAACTTCTAAAACGCACCATAACACATGTAAACATGCATTATTTCATGCATCTAGAAGCATAAACACATCATCAAGCCTGACAGATTTTCTTTTTTCTCAGTATACCATTGTATTCCTTGGATTTTGTATCCACAAAAGTACACTGAAGTTAAGGCCCCTTTCACACGGTTACCTTCAGTTCTAATCAGCAGGGGATCTGTGTACGTATCCCCTGCTGATGAAATTTGGTTGTGAATTGTTGCAATATTTCCCAACTGTGACCTCAAGGACCACTAAAAAGTCAAGCTATTCAGACTTTGTTGCACAAAAAGGTACTGTAACAGCAGGCAGGTAAAATTGCCTGGCTGTATCCAGGATGGCATATACAGTCATGGCCAAAAATATTGGCACCCCTGCATTTCTGTCAGATAATGCACCACTGAAAATTGTTGCAATTACAAATTTTAGGCACTCATGTTTATTTGTATTGGTATGGCACAAAAAAGTGGAGACAAAAAAGCCAAATGTGAAGCATTCCACGCAAAACTCCAAAAATGGACTGGACAAAATTATTGGCACCCTCCATTAATATTTGGTAGCACAGCCCTTGGAAAAAAATAACTGAAATCAATGGCTTCCTATAACCATCAATGAGTTTCTTCCACCTCTCTACAGGAATTTTGGAGCATTCTTCTTTCACCAACTGCGCCAGGTCTCTCAGATTGGAAGGGTTTCTTTTCCCAACTGCTGTTTTGGGATCTCGCCACAGGAGCTCTATGGGATTCAGATCTGGACTCATTACTGGCCAGTCCAGTACTCTCCAGCGCTTTGTCTGAAACCATTTCTGGGTGCTTTTTGGCTTGTGCTTTGGGTCATTGTCCTGCTGTACCCATGACTTCTGATGGAGACCCAACTTTTTGACACTGGGCCCTACATTGCACCCCAGAATTCTTTGGTAGTCTTCAGATTTCATAATGCCATGCACACAGTCCAGACATCCAGTGCCTCAAGCAGCAAAGTAACCCGAGAACATCAGTAAACCTCCACCATGTTTGACTGTAGGGACTGGATTTTTTTTCTTTAAAGGCCTCATTTCTTTTTCTAAAAACAGTAGAAAGATGGGCTGTACCAAAAAGCTGTCATTTTGTGTCATACCAATAAAGAAAATAAATAAACATGAGAATGCCTAAACATTTGTAATTGCAACAATTTTCTGCGCGAAGTGGTGCATTATCTGACAGAAATGCAGGGGTGCCAATATTTATGGCCTTGACTATGTGTGCCCCAGGTTCAGGTTGTATAGAGATTTTTCCCACTAGAGAGTGCTAGGAGGCTGGAATGGTAGAGGTAATGAGCCCAGCTGAAGTAAGCTCGCTCATTAGGCCTCTATAAGAACTCCCAGATGCTCAGAGTTTTGCTCCACCCTGGAACCAGTTTCTGAGCCTGAGCAGATTGGGGGAGATTTGAACCTGTCTGTGTGGTACGGAAAAAAACCCCCACTCATGTGGTGAGACAGCCTGTACAGAAAAGGAGATGCTGATTGGTTGCCATGGGCAACTGCTCCAGATTCTGTCTGCTCCAGTTTTGATAAATTCCCCCCTGTGTGTAGTAAGTCGCCAAGAGACAAGGGTTTATTTTCTTTTTGTGTGTGTTTGTTTTGCTCATTTTTCTGCTTGTAAATAGTGTAATAAACTGCGCCTGTGTTTTCACCGAAAGAAATCGTTGCTTGCTGCGCCTATTTTCTGTGTAGTGAACTCATCCAGGGAGTCGCACACACCTGCTGCCAAGCTAACACCCCCACGGTACCTATATGTATACACATTCTGCACAATGCACATTCTGATGGAGGGGGCAGGGGCAATGTAAGCTCTGGAGGGGATATGGCATGGGGACAGCATCTCAGCTGGGGGCATGTTCGGCTGATGTGTATACAATTGTCATGTGTATTTTAGCAAGAGTTTGTGGTTAATCAGAGATCTTCAACGGAGGACTTTTATTGGCTTTCAGTAGGCCTGTGCTCCCTAATTTTCATATTATCTTGTTGACAATAACCTATGTGAAATTCAAGATACATCGAAGGGAATAATATACTGAAGCAGACAGAATCTGGAGCAGTTGCCCATGGCAACCAGTCAGCTTCTATCTTTTATTTTTGAAACCTTAACTGAACAAACTGAATTTAGAAGCTGTTTGGTTACTATGGGTAACTGCTCCAGATTCTGTCTGCTTTACTCCAGATCAATTCCCCTCATTCTATTAATAAATGCGTTGCTGACGCATTTTATTTGGTACTCAGGAATATTTTCCCTCAAGTGATATATCTGTTATACAGCAGGTAGACGTCGGCGACCAGAAGCTCTATAGCATCTATGGCTGGAAGTAAGGAACAGCGGATCCTGGACTTTGTAAAGGAGAATGCAGTGAGTGGAGACCCTCAAAGTGTGGTGGATCAAATTGATAAATATTGCAGCCAGAAGGAATGGGCCATGAATGTGGGAGATGAAAAAGGTAATACGCAACAACAGCAGCAGCACTAAATGGGTTGTGTTCAATAAGGATATGCTCATAGCAAGAACTGTAGTGTAGAGAATGATAAAAGGTGACCTTTAGACCTTCACATATATGTTCTGTTAAGCAGGGTATCGTATGTATAGAAGAGAGCAAGGAAAGGCAGAATGGCCAATGCAGAACAGACTTAATGATTCATTATAGGGCAGAGGGGGATAGCAATGGTTTTAAGGACAATACATATACACGTTTAACAATCCAAGATATTCTGATCTGTCAAACATCTGCACTAGCGTTTTAAAGTTTGGAATCTCAAAGAGATTACTTTGTAAAAATGGCTGCTGAATTTGGAGCAACAAATGTTAGTCCTCATGGTAAAGTCTCTAGCCCCTGATTCATTGAGAATTGGTTCACAACAAGTTGCGTAACCAGATTAGCACAGCTAAAACTCATTTTGTGTATGTGTTGTAAGGTACTGGCAGTTTTGGGTTCAGAACTGACCAGACTGGAAATGGCCTTCTCAAGAAAATGTCAGTCTATTGTTCTGAGAAATAAAGGTTATGACCTTTCTTAGATTGCTGAGAAGCTGAAGTTATCATACAAGGGTGCCCTCTAATATGCTTATGAATATGCTTTGCAACTCTGAAGCAAGTGAAGCTCTATTTATTCTAATGAATGGAAAAAAAACTGCCAGTAGGGGAAATCTGTCACATGACTTTAACATAGTTTTTTCCTGTTATCTAGGAATGTTCTTTGCAGTGAGAGAACACACAGAAAGGACATTAAAAAGGAGAACTATGGGGGTTAGGGCTTTTCCCCATAGTTCTCCTTAGGGTAACGGGAGGACACAAACTAGCATCCTTCCGTTACCCTAAGCTCAGTATACCGCGAGCTACAGCTCGCGGTATACTGAGACGCCGGAGCGGATCCCGACGTAGATGACGGGATCCGCCCAGCTGCGTGAGTGACAGCTGGCTCTGCCTATCTAGAGGCAGAGCCAGCTGTACCCGCCCCCTCCCAGTCGGTTCCGCCAGTCAGCGCTGGCAGATCGGAGCGGGGAGAGGGGAATCCAGCCCTCCCCCTGTCATGGCAGAGAGCCGTGACAGGATCGCGAGGTGGCCGAACCTGGTATGTGTTCGCTCACCTCCCGATCTACTGAGCCGACCTGTGACAGTCTCATTGTCACAGGTCAGCTAGAACTATGTTTTGGGTTCAGAACTGACCAGACTGGAAATGGCCTTCTCAAGAAAATGTCAGTCTATTGTTCTGAGAAATAAAGGTTATGACCTTTCTTAGATTGCTGAGAAGCTGAAGTTATCATACAAGGGTGCCCTCTAATATGCTTATGAATATGCTTTGCAACTCTGAAGCAAGTGAAGCTCTATTTATTCTAATGAATGGAAAAAAAACTGCCAGTAGGGGAAATCTGTCACATGACTTTAACATAGTTTTTTCCTGTTATCTAGGAATGTTCTTTGCAGTGAGAGAACACACAGAAAGGACATTAAAAAGGAGAACTATGGGGGTTAGGGCTTTTCCCCATAGTTCTCCTTAGGGTAACGGGAGGACACAAACTAGCATCCTTCCGTTACCCTAAGCTCAGTATACCGCGAGCTACAGCTCGCGGTATACTGAGACGCCGGAGCGGATCCCGACGTAGATGACGGGATCCGCCCAGCTGCGTGAGTGACAGCTGGCTCTGCCTATCTAGAGGCAGAGCCAGCTGTACCCGCCCCCTCCCAGTCGGTTCCGCCAGTCAGCGCTGGCAGATCGGAGCGGGGAGAGGGGAATCCAGCCCTCCCCCTGTCATGGCAGAGAGCCGTGACAGGATCGCGAGGTGGCCGAACCTGGTATGTGTTCGCTCACCTCCCGATCTACTGAGCCGACCTGTGACAGTCTCATTGTCACAGGTCAGCTAGAACTATGAGGTGAGAGGAAATCACTCATGTCATAGTTCTCCTTTAAGGGCTCCATACTGCACTCTATTTCATAAATGAAATATTACAAATACAGACGCAGTGTGGTTAAATAAAACTTATGGTATGTGGAAAATGGATTTTGCTCTTCATTTTAAATAGGCCTCTGAGATTTGTTTAAAGAAGATGTCTCACTAAAAATATTACAATTTCATTTCATCTTCCAGGGGACTAGGTGCATGTAGCACTTGGTCCCGTTCAAATCCATCGTGCATGTGCCAAGCAGCGTGGTCAAACAGTTTACCCAGCTCTGCCCAACCATGCTGCTAGCAAGGAGACTGCATTTTGAGTGACAGCGCTGGTCTCTGGCAGCAGAGACCGCTCTAGACCAGTGCTGCTATTCATAAGAGATCGCTCAGCACTGATCAATCTGCCAGGCTGTGTATTTACAAGCACCAAGGCGGATAGATCACAAAGCCCTGCAAACTGAATAATCACTGAGTGATCTTTTCTGAATAAATGCTCAGTTATGTCAGGGCTGTGCCATACACTGTACTGGAGCCAGCAGCCCTGATCATTTATTCATAAAAGATCACTCCGCACTGCAGGTCTGTGATCTCGCTGCCAGGTTGTGTATTTATAAGCTGCCCTAGGATATAGATCACACAGCCTGGCAGTGCTGAGTGATCTTTTCTGAATAAATAATCAGCGCTGTCCGGTGTGATAGAACTGCTGCTGCCCTGTTTGTTTACTAGCAGCCGGCAGCTCTATCACAAAGTTCTGTAGTGCTGATTGTTCATTTACTATTTCCAAATGAACAGTCAGCTAAGAGAGGAGACGGGGGCTTAGTGCTGGCTGTACCATCCACCACAGGAACAACCATATTTCAGGCTTCAGACTGGGGTGAGGCTACAGCCAGCATTAACAGAAAAGAGAGAAGCTTTTATTTCTTAATGGGCCCCCCTAGGGTTGCCAGCTTTTTCTTTTGGAAAATATACAGGAGAGAGCGAGAGCAGGGCCGAGACAGGCAGGAGAGAGAGTGAGAGCAGGGCCGAGACAGGCAGGAGAGAGAGCGAGAGCAGGGCCGAGACAGGCAGGAGAGAGAGCGAGAGCAGGGCCGAGACAGGCAGGAGAGAGAGCGAGAGCAGGGCCGAGACAGGCAGGAGAGAGAGCGAGAGCAGGGCAGAGACAGGCAGGGGAGAGAGAGCGGGCCGAGACAGCCAGGGGAGAGAGAGCGGGCCGAGACAGCCGAGGAGAAACAGCCAGGAAAGAGAGCAAGCGTTGCTCAAAATCAAACATCTCTGCTTTTATCAAAGTGTTAATAAGCAGCCTAAATGCAAGGAGGCTCCTGATCTGTATCTCTACACTTTTGGAATCTTGGCTCTTTAAACATCAGGCAGAAACATGGCACTATAGGCATGATTACCTGATCTCTTTGCCTGCTACTGTCTCTGCAAGCCAGTGGAAACCCAAACTGTACACAGCACACACAGGAGCTCCACAACCAACAGTCCAGGTGAATCCCAGACAGGTGTGATACTGGGTTTGTTTCGCTCCTGGGAGATGTCAAGCTCTTGTGTATAGCCCTTTTTAGACTGATTTGTCAACCCCGCCTGTAACCAGTTTAACAATACAACAAAAGAAATGTGCGAACTGTTAATGTGGTAGATTTTTGTGCCTTCCGTGTTTTTAAAGGCATGTGCTTTTTCCACTAGCGGGCAGATCTTACATCTGCCACAGGGGAACATTCCTTTTGGTTTGTTGGAGTTTTCCTTTATCCGTTTTGGTTTAAATTCTGAGCTCACCAGAGTGTCTTTCAAATTTGTTGCTCTCCGTGCTGTCAGGAGTGGACAGGTGAGACCGGCATATATAATTGCCTCTCACCTGAAGAGCAGTACGTCCCGACGAAGCCCCAAGGGGAGGGGCGAAACGCGTAGACGCTGCTGTCAGAGATTAGGTGGATGACCCAGAGACTGTCGGCTGTACAGCCCTAATACCTTTTGGATCAAAAGTTACAAGAGGATTAAGCCCCCCAAAAAAGAGTAAAGTCTGGATCACTAAACACCCGGATGCATACCAACTGAGGGTGAATCAAAAGGACACACAACAAGCAACAAGTCATAAACAGCCCCAACAGTGGAAATCCGTGAATGGGAAATCGAAGGACTGACCGGGAGGTCATGTGAGTAGATCTGCTGTTCGGCTTCAAAACACGAACTAGCAAAAAAGCTTTAAACTACAATTCACTGTCATATATGAATGATCCCCCGATGTAAAAAGGTCCGGAGAAATGTTGTATTATTGATCAAGATAACTAAGCACATCAGAGCAAGTACTTAATCCCAGGGTCAACTTAGATACATTCCAGTATCAAAAACAACCTATAGACCTTAGGAATCTAGGAGATACATGTACGGCCGATTAAGGGACATCTATCCACCTCACCACCGATCAAAGTCAGTCAGACTAGTCATCGTTTTTTAATCCTTTGACAGGAAACTGTCAGCTATGTGTTCACTAATGTTTTTGCATGTCTTCGATCAGTAATAAATAGATACATTTCTTTAAAATCTGACATTGCAGTTTGTCCCAGCCGATGATTAACCCTTGAGCTGCCTTCATCTGTAAGACAGTTCGCACATTTCTTTTGTCCCCCAATCGAAAAGGGACCAAGTTTTATATTTGGTCCCTTGGCGGATAAAATAATGTAATTGTGTGATATTTAGTTTTAAATGTTGTAGGAACAGGTACAAACGTAAGCTTACACATAGAAAATAAAGCCATGTTCATTCATCCAACTTGATTTATTATATCCTAACTTTTTTCCACCTCGCATCTCAGTTTCTCAACCGTGCGTAATTTTGTGGTGAATGTGTCTCAATATCTATTTTGTTATTTGTGTAACAGGTCTAATCCTGGACAATATAGTCAAGGAGACTAACCCGTCCATAGTTCTGGAGCTGGGCACATACTGTGGGTATTCTGCCATCCGCATAGCTCAGCTACTAAAACCTAATGCTCGTCTGCTCACCATTGAAAGGGAACAAGCTCATGCTGCTGTGTCCAGGGAGATGATTGAATTTGCTGGATTCAAGGATACGGTATTTATAAAACATTTAAAAAAAAACTACGATTTAGAAATTTGCTGCTAAATGTTTATATAAAATTATCATACTGCCATATAACGAAATCAGCCCACCCAAAAACTGCTGAAACGTTTGGTAGCTGCTAAAGATGTCAAACAACCTTGTATTTCTGCTCAGCTGATGCAGGAGCATGCTCCACTCTACTTGCTGGAGAGTGTCAGGAGTATGTGAAATAAGAGCTACCTAGCACTAAGGATATAAATAAATATCTAGAAAACGTGAAAAACAATATTGTGCCGAGCTAATAATCATGCACATCTAATACAATGAAACATATATAAATGAATTGCATATATGAGCCTTCAAGCAAATAAAGGCATTAAAATTATCTATACACAAAAAAAACAAAAACAAAGAGTCCCAGAAAAAAGGAAACAATGGTGATCGTGCAAGAAAATTCCTCAGATGATTCACAGCCAATCTGCATGTAACTCTCAGGTAAGGATAATCACACAATGCAGGCAGACCTTCACCTCCACCTCCACCCAGTGAGTGATGACAACAAGTGAGTGCTCACCTGGGGAGGTAGACCCACAGAGCTAGGTCAAATGCACTTTTTCCCTTCTTAATGGGGAGGGAAGCCCATGCACAGAAAAAGCGATAAGGTCTCCTCCTCTCACAGGTACCAGAATAAATTCAGGAGGAAACAGAAAAAGGACAAGGACATAGTGCCTAACGTCCAATAAAATGCAATTTATTAAATAAAAAAATGCGTACTCACAATGATGCAAACAGTACAGGCATTGGGTATTGTTGGATCCAACCAGCAAGGCAAAAGGCAGCAAAGCGTCTGGCTCAGCTTAGTGCAGTGACATCAGAAGTTCTACCCTACGTACGTTACATCAAAACACGTGACTTCATCAGGGGTCTGAAGCTACTGCTGTCTTGAAGCCTATTATCAGAAAAGGCAGTAAACCAGGCGCACTTCCTCTATCATATATATGGAAATAGAACCATCAGCAGAGACAACACAGGCCAGAGCACAGAAGAAAGGGAATAACAATAGGTACAATTACGTATAAAAAATATAAAACCAACAACATAAGACATAAAGGAGGGGCCTGTTTTTTAATTGGCAATTTAAAAAATACAAAGACTGTACATAAGACAAGACATGGACAAGCTCATCAAGTGACGAGGGAGCATGGAGCCGGCTTCCCGGCCAATCAGGAAGCCAGCGGTGTATAACAACTTGCCGCCCGGCTTCCTAACACCATACGTTCTAGTACTAGGATCAGCATCAGTGCATCCCTAATATCTAGATCACAAAATGATCCCAATTACTCATTAGCACAGCTTTGTCTTTTTTAGATATATCTATAGATTACGGAGTAAAAACTAGGTTTATTGCATTCCTATGCTCTGAGATCTCCCCTTTTATTCTATCCCCCAATAGGTGAAAAGTGATAATTCTCCTTGCACATCTGTTTTTCTGATGGTAGAGCAGCTGCCCTAACATTTCAGGAGAGCCACTTAAATATATTTGAACCTTTTAAGGCTTTTACCTGCACCTGTGACAGTATGTTCTATAACACTGCATTTCCTTTCTTCAGATAGAGGTAATAGAAGGTTCCACAGAGAAGATCATTCCAAGGCTGAGAACGGACTATGGAGTAGAACATTTAGACTTTGTCTTTATTGATCATTATAACGAGAGATACACGGCTGACACCAAATTACTTGAAGTAAGTAGACTTTATTAGGTAAGGAAGCTTAGGAAGAATTATGTAGGAAAACGTTTGATGGAATTTGTGCTACTGCAGGTCCTAAATACAGCTCTTATTAGAAACATTGACTGATCTCGGTCTGGGTGTATTTCTACTAGGATGCAATTCATTCACTGTTTCTTTCACGGAGTTAGCACTATTATGTGTTAAATAATGCAGCTTTTACTTTGCAAGCTTATTACATGATGTAAAGCAGGGGCGCCCACCATTTTTCGTCTAGAGATCTACTTTTCAAATGACCAGCTCAATGAGATCTACCAAAGAGAGTGGGAGGGAGCATGGCGGTGCATTGAAGTCAATGGCACTGCAGCCACGCCCCTCACCCGCAGTGCGATCGCCTGCACCCGGAACGCAGGCACATGCCTGCGCTCCGGTCCAGTTTTATACTGAGCTTTGGGTGACGAGAGGACGCTAGTTTGTGTCCTCCCGTTAGCCCCCATATTAGGGGTCTAAACAGCCCTCTGCTATTTCACTTTTAAAATAGAAAAAGAAATTGAGGACTCTGTGTGTCCTCAATCTCTTTTTCTGCAGCCTCTGTTCTAAATGAACGGAAAGCACAGAGGCTTCCCATTCATTCAGAAACTATTTACTATTTACCGTCATCCAGTTTCTGAATGGGGAGGAGCCTCTGTACAGAGTGCTACTCCCCATTGAGAATCTCATGAATGAACAGGACGTGATGTAAATCACATCCTGTTCATTCATAACTGGGGACACATAATAATATGTGTCCCCAGTTATTTACAAGCACTGGAGTGATCAGCTGATCGCTCCAGTGTTTGTCCTGGAGAGAGAATTGGTACACTGATACACTGGATCTCCACTGGATCTCCGCTGCTCTCCTGGGCACTTCAGCCACGAGCGGCTCCCTCTCTCCTCACAGATTGGCGTGATGCCGTGATAGCGGCTCCGCCACACGCCGCCGCCTGCAGCGCTTCGTTCACTTCTCCTCGGATCCCGCTGCATACAGATGGGGGAAGAGCAGCGGGAATCCAGAGAAGCCCCACTGAAGGAGGACAGGACATCACGATCTACCAGGGATCGCTTTGCGATCGACTGGTAGATCGTGATCGACCTAATGGGCACTCCTGATGTAAAGTGTTCTGTGATTGACAGTTCTGAAATGGTTTACAGTATGTACAGTATGCTGAAAGGTATAATATGATTATTACTGGACATCTCTGAATGAATGAGGCTCCAGCGATAAAACAATTGTGCCATTTGTATAGAATGTCTGAGGGGAAGTTAACACTTTACTGTTAACTTTATAACTCCCCCGTCCGTTCTGCCAGTTTTTTTTTTACTTTTTGTAAATGACTTGACTTGAATGATACATTGTATTTCTGACTCCTGTGGTTGGAAAGAGAGAAAGGGTGTGCGACTTGCATCCTTTCTACGTCAATTAAGCTTTTTTTGGGCCTACTTTAACCACATAAGGTAACAGTGCTTTAAAAAAATCTGACAGTTTAAGCTGCCAAAATATGTTTGTGCAACACTTAATGTCACCTTTCTACTACACTGAAGTGGATTAAGCACAGATCATGCTTGATCAGCTTCGTCCCTGGTTTCTGTGACCGGTAAATAACCGCTCTGAACCCGGAAGCTACAGCATTTCTTCTTGCTTCCAGTTTTAATCACAGAAAAGGAGATTAGCGAATGGGTGTTCTCTGGTCTCTCTGCCATCTTGCCACCAACACCTGCGGAGGCTGTCCCAGGCCAGCCGAACTCGATAAATGGCAGGGGGAGCACCCTCTGAAGCCCATGGAAGTGATCCTGCCACATCTAACACAAAGCTGACAGTCAGTTTGCTTAGGCTGAACATAGTCCCGCCGTATTATCTGCGGGGCATTAACTACCAATTACTATCGGTTGGGGCATTAAGTGTATTATCTGCGGGGCATTAATTTGTATTATCGGCTGGGCATCAATTGTATTATCTGAGGGGCATTCATTATTGTTGGCTGGGCATCAAGTATATTATCAAAGAAAATAAGATAGCATTTATGAAAAAAAAGGAGGGGACTGCATTGGCATTCCGGAACTACAAAGAATGCAATAAGAGATGTAAACATGAAATCTGGGCAGCTAAAATAGATTATGAAAAGCATATTGCCATAGTCAGTAAAAAGAACCCCCCAAATTCTTCCAGTATATAAACAGTAAAAGGGTAAGGAAAGAGCAGGTCGGCCCAATAAGACAAAAACGGGAGATTAGTCACAAACGACAGGCTGAGGTATTGAATTCATTTTTCTCCTCAGTATACACTCAGGGAAAAAACGGGTTTAATGGAGATAAAAATGTGAGTAGCTTAGTCCGTAAAACGCTGCAGTGGTTGACAGTAACCGGGGGTTCAGCAAAGACTTGATAAACTTAATGCAAATAAATCATTAGGACCGGATAACCTACACCCCAAGGTACTTAAAGAACTCAGCCTGGTTATAGCGAGACCATTATTCCTCACCTTCAAGGACTTCATAATGACTGGTAGAGTACCAAGTGACTGGCGGAAGGCTACAGTAGTGCCAATATTCAAAAAAGGGTCAAGATGCCAACCTGGGAACTACAGACTAGTCAGTCTGTCTAACATCAATAGTATGCCAACTGTTAGATGGAATGATAAAGGACTATTTAGTGGAGTTTGTTCATGAAAATGGTATAATAAATAATTGGCATGGATTTAGGAAGGACCGTTCCTGCCAGACCAACCTACTAACATTACACGAAGAGGTGAGTAGAGATCTGGATAGAGTGAAGCCGGTGGATGAGGTATACCTAGATTTTGTCAGCTTTTGACACGGTACCACATAAACGCTTAGTACAGAAGCTGAGGTCTATGGGCATAGATAAAATGGTGTGTACATGGATAGAGAACTGGCTACAGAAACGTGTCCAGAGAGTATTGATAAATGGCTCTTTCTCAGATTGGTCTAAGGTCGTGAGTTGCGTGCCCCAGGGTACTGTGCTAGGCCCCATACTGTTTAACCTGTTCATTAACGATATCGGGGAAGGTGTTAATAGCTACCGTATTTTTTGCTCCATAAGACGCACTTTTCCCCCCCCAAAAGGCAGGGGAAAATGTGTGTGCGTCTTATGGAGCGAATCCCTATCGCCGGAGGCCCGAGACATACAGTTTCGGGCGCCGGGCGTAGTTTTTTGTACATTTAGCCCTGCTAAAGCAGAGCTAAATGTACAGTAGGAGCCACTGCTCGTTTAATACGAGTGATCTAAATCAGATCACTCGTATTAAAACTGAGCAGCGTCGGCGGCGATCGAGATCACCATAGAGCCCCTAGAGCAGACGAAGAACGGACGCGGTCTCTGTGTGATCACTGAGACCGCGGCGCTGTAATCACAGCGCTACCTGTCTCAGCGGTCACTAACTGCAGCTTCTGTCACAGAAGCTGTGAAAGAAGCTCCGGTCTGTTCTGTGCTCCATAAGGCGCACCGGACCTCCCTGCGTCTTATGGTCCGGTGCGCCTTATGGAGCACAAAATACGGTATGTTCCTGTGTTAGCAAACAAAGCAAGCAGAGTACTGTCTTGTATTAAAAAGGGAATGTACTGTAGAGACAAGGCAATAATCTTGCCACTTTATAGATCACTTGTTTGGCCTCATCTTCAGTATGTGGTTCAATTCTGGTCAACAATCCACAGAAAGGGTGTTCTTGAGCTGGAGAGGAGTCCAGAGCAGGGCAACTAAACTAATTAAGGGGATGGAGGACCTGAGCTATGAGATAAGGTTATTAAATTTAAGGGCCTGTTCACAGACGTCCGTTTTCTGTGCTGACCTGATCCGTATGCTCCTGCACTAAAAATGCATCCCATTGTATCCTTGTGTTTTATGGGCTGCAGTTCTCATGTGCGCAGTCCGTTCAAGTAACGACATACTGCATGTTAAAAAATACTGCATGTTACATTTTGTACGGTCAGGAAAAGGTCAAAAACGCACTGCACTGCAGCTAACATACTGACAGCCCCACTCCAGCAAAAAAAAAAAAATTTTTTTTTTTTTTAACTGGAACGCATCAACAACGTGGCAAAAACACATAGCACCGCGTCCGCAGATCCGCACCTGAAACTCATGTGAACAGTCCCTAAACTTGTTTACGCTAGAAGTGAGGAGATTTAAGAGGGGACATGATTTTGATGTACAAAATGTTTAGTGGCTATGGCAACATCAGCAATAAACTGTTTACGGTAAACTCCATAAAAGGTGCCCATACACCTTACGATTATCGTACCCTATTGACTTTTCGTACGACAATCGTAACGTGTGAATAGAGTGCCCGACCGATAGTACTGTACAATCGTACAACTTTTGACGTTCAAGCATGTTTGAAAACTTTGGTCGATCGTGCGATGTTCGCATGGTTGGTGGCGTTTCCGTCCGTCAAAAGTCGTACGATTAACGCTGCGCATGCGCAAGCGTAAATAATTACGGTCAATTACCGCAAGTCGTCAACTACCGCTGATTGAACCTTGCGATAAATCGGGGCAGGATGGGGCCGTCGTAGGAAAATCGTACGACGGTTCAATCATACGATAATCGTAAGGTGTATGGGCACCTTAACAAAGACTAGAGGCCACCTCTTAAAACTGGTGGCGAAAAGATTTAACCATGGGGGCTTTTTTTTTTCAATTAGAGCGGTTATAATCTGGAACTCGCTGCCACAAGCGGTGGTATCAGCAGAGGAGTATTGAATCATCTCTGTTCCTCAGAGATCATAACATACAGGGGTACAGGTACTCTTAAAAACAAGATCACACAGGGACTCATGTACACGCACGCACTTACACACACACACACGTTGAACTTGATAGACCTGTGTCTTTATTCAACCCCAAATACTATGTAACTATGCTATAGCAGCCTGGGAGTGTGTTTAAAAGCCTGTGCTTCTACCAATGTAAGCTTTATGTTGGCGGCATCAATAGGGCTCTCTATACTGCACCAGGAACAATATCCCAATCTCCAATTATTAAATTTCTTCAAACTATCAATTTCTGAGAGGTCTTTGGTTTCCTCTGAAGATAAATGCAGAGTATTCATGTATGCAGGAGATGCAGCTTGATTCCATCTACTCTGACTTGTGTCAGCACAGTAGGACCATCCTTTTATTCACCTCTATATTAAAGAGAGATAATTATGTACCGTATTTGCCGGCGTATAAGACGACCCCCTACTTTTTGTGTTAAAATATAGGTTTTGGGCTATATCGTATAAGAGGAGTATAGCCCAAAATAATGTTTAAAATGCACCCACTAACATCCATGGCGGTATTTCCGAGTGTGGCTCGGGGTTAATTTTCAGTACCATAAGTGTTAACCCCGAGCCACACTCGGGATTACAGTCTCTTACCTTGTCCAGGATCCCTGCAGCGTCCATCTTCCGTCCTTCAGTTACTACCGCGCTGAGCCAATCACGGCAGGCTTTGTATTCATTAATACAAAGCCTGCCGTGATTAGCTCAGCGCTGAGCCAATCACAGCAGGCTTTGTATTCATTAATACAGGCTTTGTATTAATGAATACAAAGCCTGCCGTGATTGGCTCAGCGCAGTATACTGTATGTAGCCGAAGCTACATACAGTATACCGAAGTATACCCGGCGTATAAGACGACCCCCGATTTTCGGGCGATTTTTTTAGGTCTCAAACCCCGTCTTATAGGCCGGCAAATACGGTACACGCAGTGCAGAATAGGACTGAAACCGTCTTCTGTAGCCAGGAGAGACCTTTGTGTAAGTAAGATGCTCAGAGAATCTCCAGTGTAGTTTCTAAAGGTTTACTTTGATGCAGTTTGACTTACCTGTATGCAGTAGGCTTTAGCAAAATGCTGCATGCTTGTATTACATTTTCATAAAAATATTATTATAATGAAAGGATGGTCCGTGCGCTTGAGTATTTTTTGCAGTTGTTGGTATAGTCACGTTTTCATGGTGAATAATTGAAAGCTGGAATGTATGTATCCACTTTGGATTGTTAACTATCTTTTTTACTCTTTGCAGGAACTCGGCTTACTCAAGAAAGGGAGCGTTATAGTAGCAGACAACGTTGTGTACCCTGGTGCTCCAGACTTCCTGGAATATGTAAGGACAAGTGGTCGCTATGAATGCACCAACTTCCCGTCTCATGTAGAGTACAGAAATAAGCCAGATGCTTTAGAAAAGGCAGTGTTCAGGGGGTAGTGATCATTTGGGCAATGAAACCGGTTGACAAAAAAACATCTTAAATACTCTTTTAAATAACATGCTGGTAGATTAATTGGCTTCTGTCTAAATTTTCCCTCCTATGTATGCATATGAGATAGGGACCTTAGATTGTAAGCTCCCGGAGGGACTGATGTTAATGTACACTATGTAAAGTGCTGTGTAAATTGTCAGCGCTATATAAATACCTAAAATAATGTATAGCAGCTTACTGATTTTTGTCCCCCTGATCATTCTTAGAATGACACACTTCCTTTCCCTGGCTGGCTACTCTGGGTCCTTGGTTTCTAAATGAGATGCAAAATTTGCTCTCATCAGAAAAGATGACTTCTTGACTACTGAGCAACAGACCAGGTCTGTTTTTCTTTAGCCCAGGTAAGACGCTTCTGACGTTGTTTGTTGTTCAGGAGTGGCTTGACAAGAGGAATACGACATTTGAAGCCCATGTCCAGGATCCGTCTGTGTGTGGTGGCTCTTGATGCACTGACTCCAGCCTCAGTCCACTCCTTGTGAAAGTCCCCAACACTTTTGAATGGCCTTTTCCTGACAATCCTCTCCAGGCTGCGGTCATCCCTGCTGCTTGTGCACCTTTTTCTTCCACACTTTTCCCTTCCACATAACTTTCTATTAATGTGCTTTGATACAGCACTTTGGGAACATCCAACTTCTTTTGCAATTACCTTTTGAGGCTTTCCCTCCTTATGGAGGGTGTCAATTATGGTTTTCTGCACAACTGTCAGGTCAGCAGTCTTTCCCATGATTGTGATTCCTACTGAACCAGACTGAGAGACCATTTAAAGGCTCAGGAACACTTTGCAGGTGTTATGGCTTAATTAGCTGATTAGAGTGGGACACTTTGAGCCTAGAATATTGCACCTTTTCACAATATTCTAATTTTCTGAGATTGTGGATTTGGGGTTTTCATGAGCTGTAAGCCATAATCATCACAATTATGACAAATCACGGCTTGAACTATCTTGCTTTGCATGTAATGAGTCTATCTCATATATTAGTTTCACCTTTTAAGTTGCATTAGTGAAATAAATGAACTTTTGCACGATATTCTAATTATTAGAGTTTCACCTGTAGGTAAGGTTTTTTTTTTCCCTTGATAATGGCAGATGTTCCTTTCAGATAATCTGGGCTCACATGGTTAAAAAAACAAAAAACACATTTAGGGCTAGTTCACACCACAAACCGTGCGTTCCAGCCCAATTTGGTGGCGGGACGCAGTGTATCACATCCCAGCTGGCTCCCGGCAGGAGGGGGCATGGTGGTGCATTGAGTCAATGGCACCGCAGACACACACCCCGACCACAGTGTGAATGCCCGCACCAGAACGTGTGGCACATCAATGCCTGCGTTATGGTCCAGTGCAGTCAGAAAAAACACAGGCGTTGATGTGCCACGCATTCGGGTGCGGCCGATCGCACTGTGGCCGGGGAGCATGGCTGCGGTGCCATTGACTTCATTGCACCGCCACGCCCCCTACCGCCCATTAACGCAGTCAGCCGGCCGGAATGCGATCCAGTGCGTTCCGGCACCAAATCGGGCCGGAACGCACTGTTTGTGGTATGAGCTAGCCCTCAGGTTCTACTAAATTCAAGTAAAGAATAATTGAAATGGTTTAGGTTATTGAGGCACACACCTTCCCATCCAAGTCACTTCCCAACAGCCCCGTGTTGGTTCAGCGCATTGTTTTAATTTTTAAAACAGGTTAGTCCTGCTTGCGTAATTTACATTAATAACGGACTTCTTTTTATTGGAGGATCCAAAAGCACAACAGCTTTCTTTTATAATCAAATACGCTCTATAATACCTTAAAATGTACACAAAGTTTTCTGGCCAATCCGTTAACTTCTTCGGCAGTTAAGTTCTGACATTACCCTGTTTCCCCGAAAATAAGACCTACCCCGAAAGTAAGACCTAGCACTATTTTTCAAGATTCCTGTAATATAAGACCTACCCCGAAAATAAGACCTAGTTTGGTGGTAGCATGTGAGGGGGAACTTGCAGGAGAGATGGTATCAGCCTGCAGGCACATACTGTATTAAGAGGATGACAGGGGACTCCCTCCGGCCAGCGCAGTGACCGTCAGCACTCCAGTACCATACATCACCAACTGCCCTGAAGGCACTGCTTAATGTAATGGTACCGTAATTTACAGCACTGTTCACTGTCTGATGTCCCCACTGCTGCACCGCTGGTACAACTGTCCTTGATGGCAAAGGAAGACGGCGCTGTCGAAAGCAAGGCGGCGGAGGGAGCAGAGCCGCATTAGCCGATACTTCCTCTATAGCTCCGGTTACTGTGACAGGCGGAGTGATACCAGATAACTTTGGATTGTTGTAATATTTTGTTGCACCTTAAAAAAAAAAAAAAAAAAAAAAAAAAAGACATCCCCTGAAAATAAGACCTAGTGTGTTGTTTGGGGGCAAAAACAATATAAGACAGTGTCTTATTTTCGGGGAAACACGGTACTTTATGTAACTGCCAACTAAAGTCAGCATTTTTGATCATCACTGAGCAGAATGGGATGCAGGGAATATAAACACAGTTGAGGCTCCATTCACACTGGAGTGGCTGTCTGTGCATATTCTGCCCCAAAATAGTGCGATAATATGGCAGATTCCGCATGTTCGCAGCTAAATAATGGCTGCAAACGAGCGAAATACGGGCAGTTCAACATATTGCGTTTGCATCCATTGCGGTCTTCCGCACGGAAAGACCGCACTCTTGGGGTAATTGTGGTTTGTCGCCCACTGCTGGGAAGGTTCACCACTGTTCCATGTTTTCGCCATTTGTGGATAATATACCTCACTGTGATTCGCTGGAGTCCCAAAGCTTTAGAAATGTGGGGGGGGGCAAACACTTTTTCACAGAGGGCCATGTGGGTTTGGATTTTGTTTTCCCTTAATAAAAACCTTCCTGCATGTTGTGTTTGTGTTTTCTTTGACTAATATTTACATTTGTTTGATGATCTGAAACATTAAAGTGTGACAAACGTGCAAAACAATGAAAAATCAGGAAGGGGGCAAACACTTTTTCACACAACTGTATATATGTATATTTCCATAACTTCTACACCAAGTTTGCAAATGTACTTCTTGAAGATGCCCACAGGACGTACTTCCTCAATGCAGTGACACAATTTCACTCAGCCCTGTGAATACAAAACGTCCTTCTGTGACCATGCCAACTAAGCCGACTATCTGAACTACAACCCAATGTTTATACTTCCAACAATCTAACAATCACTGCATGATGGGATGTGTAGTCTTGAGAAATCAATAATGCATCAAATCAAGCAGCAGGGAAAGGGAAGCAAAGCACACTGCGAATCCAGGAAATTGTTCAAAGTAATGGGCAGACAGAAGGCAGCACTCACCACATAAAAGGGATTTCTTTTGACGTAAAATTTGATTACATTATCAAAAATTATAGTATGTAATTCAATGAATGCCAATGTTATAAAGGGATAGGATATGCTGTGACTTTAGAGCTCCTTTAAACTAAAGAGTATGTGGCAGTAGGCTGTCAGAACAGGATAGCCAGGGCAGAGATTTGCCCCAAGGCGATGCTTAAAGCCAGATGCTGATCCAGGCCAGGCTGTAGAAAGGACAAGATAGTTCTCACGGAGTACTTCATAGGATGGAATTTTTTTTGCCTCATACCAGAGATGGCATTGTCAACTGAATTCTGGTCGGATGACCCCCCACAACCAAGATGTCACTGCAGAAGGGACAACTGAATTGCCCTGTGCTCCAGGATGATGATGATGGGAAGCCAACCAACCAAGTCCTCTGTATTGAGAGGGTATCCAGGACTCCTCCGCACTCAAATAGGCATTCATCATGAAAACCTTCTAAATCATTAAAAGATAGCATTTTCCTAACTCCTGAGCTGGATTGGATATCCACCATGCAAGAGAGGCCTGGCCTTGCTTTTGAGGTGCATAGGATAATCTCTGTGCCTGCTTGGCACTCACAGTCTAGAGTGAAACTAGAAATCCAGCATTACCTCTATCCACCTTCTGGGGGAGAAGAGTTCTCTTACACCCTGTAATTTCTTTGATGTAAGTATACAGGGAAGTGGAAAAAAAAAAAAGCCGACCAATGCTTGCCAAACAACCCAGCACATATGAAAAGGAGGTTAATTTATGATAAAGTGTGTCAAGCTAGCCCATCTACACAGTAGCAAAATGCAGAAATTCAAGGTTTTGGAGGACAGAGGAGTCTGTTAAAATAGACCCAGACTCGTTTTTCGTCCAGACCGCAAAAAGTCCGACAAACTGCCTTGGATGCAACCGTAGATTGCCTTGAGGAGTATTCCTGTGAGGGCTGTCCACTTCTTAAGGAAGCCCTCCTCAATAGACTATTTTGGAGGGTCAAAAAGCTTTTCAGGGTGAGGCCAGTCACTGTACAATATAGGCTCTAAAAGAGAGTGAACCAGTTAAGGTCTTAGCAGGTTTGGTCATTTTCAGGGAAACTCAGGCTGGAAACCTTGGGACAGGCTGACTCAGGCTGCTTTTAATTCCAGGCATCAGCGCATCACATCAATAAGGGTTGCAATAGTAAAGTTTTGGGGGAAAGCTCTGCAAAGAGTTTGTCCTCCTGATCAGATTCCCAGATTCCTCCAGCATAGTGGCTGAGAAGGGGGGCGGTGCGGCGGGGGAAGAGTCTAAAACTAACTCCACTGACGACCCCTGCAGTCAACCACCTACCCAAAATCAGGCATGGTGGAAGAAAATTATTTTCTGGAAAGTAGGAAGTGGGGTGTGCCCTGAAGGTTATGGAGACAGCAGAGGAGCAAGAGAATCTGACTGTGGGCAGTGCTCAGAGCTGAGCAAACTAGGGCCTGTAAAAAAAAGTACAGTACCCTCCCCCCCTTCAGCCAGTAGCAGAATGTGAGCTGGTGAAGAAGCACCTGCAGGAAGAAGAAGAAAAAAAAAAAAAGTGCCTGTACATGTGCAGCAGGACTGAGATTGAGGCTATACAGATGTAG